CCTGGCACGAAAAAGTCAATGGTAAGCGAAAATTCATTCACTTATGAGCGTAAGTAAACAAAAAACCCTAGTAACAACAAAAGTAGCAAAAGTAGCTCACGCCACTAGGAGTAGGAAATTAAATAAGGGATCGCGGCAGCAAGAAGATTAGCAGAGGAAAAAAGAATGGGAGAAAAATATCGCCTCATCACTCGGCGACAGCTGATTGTGTGTGGGTCCTAGAACGAAAATTTGCAATCTGTATTGCCTCGACACTCGTCTCTGACGTCTGACGTGACATCGATGGAGAGGCGAGAAGGCCATTGACGTCCTCGCCCATTGAATTATCGTGAACTGTGCCTTTAAAATGGATACCTCGAAATTAACATGAGCTATACCTTTGATTCAAGGGCATCCAGCATGCAGAGCTGCTCCCACTTTAATTGGTTGAAACCACTCAAAAATAGAGGTTTCGTTTGTTACACCGGCTTTACAAAACATATGAAATCTTCGATCGATACAATTTGTGATATTAAGAGGTAAAAATTTAAAAAGATCAGGTCTAATTCAGGATGGCATACTGTATTCTCCTTTTAGGAGAGAAGTTCAAATTAATCATTCTCGACGCTTGTGGTGACGTCCAAACCCAAACGAGAATATGTCCAGCCAACGATTTCATGAAATCAGGTGTCATAAAGGACATTGCAAGGGTTCTCGAGGATAATGGTAGGTAGAAAAAACTTTCTAATAGTAATCTTGTATTCGAAACTATCGGAAGCCGTTACGCTTCATTCAGCAGGCGCCCCTTTGCCCACCTAGACATGGCGGGAAAGCGCACACGCGTTTGGCGCTCGTGATTGGTTGTTTCTTCTCGAACACCAATCACAGGAACCCCTGACGCATTCCGCATCAAGCCTCAGATCGATAAACATATTTTTAGGTGTGCTCACGGTGAATATTATCAGCTCGAGAGATTTCGCAGCAAATGAAGAGGACGTACTCGCGGCTTACGAAGAGCACTTCAAAACATGTTTTCTTTTACGGTACAGTGAAGTGCAAAGGGTGAGAGCTTTAAAATTTCTATCAGGAAAGAGGAAATTCACCCCGAAACAAGCGAATTTGCAGTTGCTCGTGTGTACTCAGAGAGAAGGATGGAATTTTGATAAGCAAAAGAAGCGATTCATGAAAAATTTCCGGAACGTCGACGATCGCTTCGATTTCGGACTCGCTGACATCATTTATAGAGAGAATTAGTTTTAATCATCACCAGTTGTGTACTTTTCTGAGAGAAGTAGGTACTGATCCGTTGCGCATTGATTACTGTGTGTGGCACAGCCGTTTGTTAAATAAACTTTTTGTTTTCATCTATTCAGTGAAGCTGAGGGCATTGTTTGGTATTTGCAAAATTGCTTGGCTTGTGTTGTGTGTTGTGTTGTGTTTATTACGTTGCTAAGGCAAACGTAGTATAAAAGGATCACAACCTTATGGAAACAACTCAAATAACGGAATAAATGGAAGAGACCCATGTAAATAGAGACCACGTAAAATGAGGTAACAGTCAAATGTCAAGGTTAGATATAGAACAAAGGCATGGAAGAAGTGGTCAACCGCAAGGAACTATGAAAGCTCATACTTAGATAAAATAGGTACCACAGTGCGTTTGAACTTAGACAAGGAATCCGGAGTGTTCAAGTTTTTTGTTATCTTTTTGTAGAGGCTAGCCGCTCTAAATGTGAAACTTTTGGCTCTTACTTTGGTTCTGGGCCTAAGAAGATTTATTTTAGTCTGACCGCCTCTAGTTCGAGATTGAGCCATTTTATAAAGATCAAAGGAACCAAATGTATTACTTCGGTACAGTAGCTTGTATACCATACATACGTCAAATACCTTGCGTCGCGATTCCAAAGTAGAGAGTTCAAAGTATTTGTTGCGAATAGATGCTTTAGGAATCCTAGAATAGAAGAAACTCTTGCAACGGCAAAGGATCTTACGCGTAAAATTGTTCTGTACCTTCTCAAGTGCTTCAACATCCCTTCTCCTAGAAGGGTTGAACACAGCAGCACCACTCTCGATCAAAGGTCGAACATACGTTTTATAAGCTTTAAGAAGGATGGACTTATTAGTGGAGGACAACCCTTTGAAGATTTGCAATGTACGCAGTGAGGCCAGGGTACACCGGGTTCTGATATGTTTTGAAAAGTCAAGTTTGTCAGTATAATGAAAACCAAGGTCCCTCACAAAGGTGACAGGAGTGATTGTAACTCCTTCGACTGTATAGGGACTTGAGAATATCTCG